TGAAGGTAAATGGGACAGCCTGCAGTTTATTCATTTTGGTGTGGCAGTGACTAAGGCCTGGAGATAATCATTCATTTATTCAGTAAGTTTTCTTGAATTAACTACTATATACAAAATCCTATTTTTGATCTAGGGTTACAAAGGAAGCAAAAACAACAATTTACATATCCTCATGTTGCTATGGTTAGGAAATTTGCATATGAAGATAGAAATGAATCAAATAATCATAAACTAGAAATTGTAAAAAAGCTGTAAGTGCAAAATGGCTCAATCTGGGAGTCCTAGAAACCACCCCAGAATGAAAGATATTTGATCCAAGAGCTCAGGGATAAGAAAGATTGCCTAGATTGTAGTTATTATATTTTCTTATTTTCTATATTGTTAATGCTCTGGAACATGAGGCCTCACTGAGCACTGTGTGCCCCTCCAAGCTTTAGCTATTTTCTAGAGATACTGAGCAGCTGGCTCTCAGGAAACTTTCATATGTCAATGAACGAATAGGAGCCAAAAGACCTCTGCCCCTACTGTCTCTCTGGCTCATAGACTTGGCACCTATCCCCCTATCCTAGGGCCATTTCTCAGATGACCTGGAGCCCGTGAAATAATTCAAACTAGTTAATTCTAAGATTGCATATTCTGCCTTGCCTGTTCTCTCCATGGAAATCATAGTAAAAAACTTCTGTGAACTCTGATGCTTCTTGGCTAGCATGCATGGAATGGCATGGTATGCCCACTTCTCTTGTGAATCTATCTATTTTTTAAAAATGAAAGTTTGTCTCTTGGTCTGTTGTCCTCACCATGCCTGAATAATAAACCCTACAATTTGAAATATAAGAAAACAAAATGGCTTTTTCTAGGCACAGGGCCTAAGACAGGAAAGCACCTGGCATTCTGAAGAGCCATGAGGAGGCCAGTTGGCAGAGCATAGAGGTCTAGAAGGATGGAGATAGGAAGCTGAAGAGGTTCCCAAGGCCTGGTGGTAAGCTTCCCGTCTTTGCAAACACCCCAGATAAATCAACCTAAAAGTGGAACACTATGTGTGGGCTCATGTTAAAATGTTTCCACCCATGGTTGCTTAGCCCTGTTGCTTTGGGCCTAGAGTGGCACAGTCTATCATAGTAGAAGTCTATTGACCTTAATGTGGTAGAACTGCTCACCTCCTGTTGGTCAGAAAGCAAAGAGACAGAAAGAAGCTGAAGCCTCAACATTCCCCTCAACGGCCACACCCCCAGTGACCTCACTTCTGCTCAGACAGCATACCTCAAGGTTTCACCACCTCACCCTAGTGCCACCAGCTGGTGACCAAGACTTTAGCATGTGGGCCTTTGGGGAAGATTTAAGATCAAACCACAGCACAAGGCCCTCTATACACCTTATAAGCCATGTTGAGGATATCGACTTTTATTTAGACTGAGAACTGTGATTTTAGCTCCAATCCTCAAATTAGAGGCAAAAAGAGACAGAAGAGTTCATGGTTCATCTCTGATGATGGTAAGAGGGTGGGCACGTCCATTTGGTGAGTCTGGGAGATCCAAAAGAGACATTCTCTTTCACTCATTTTTCTTTCTTACTAGTTTTGCTTCTTTGAAACTCTTTCCCTTCCATCAACTGGAGCCCAGAAGAGCTAACTTTCCTTTGCAAGCTGAGACCCAGATGAGTTTGAGTTTGTCTCTTTCCTAAATGTCATCTGGATTTCTGAAGTGGGAAAAGTTTTCTGTTGTCCTGAATAACTTTTGCTCCATATGTCCTTACCCAAGGATAGAATTTTCTAATGTGGAGGTGTCAGTGAAAAGACAGGAGTAGAGGGCAAAGGCTGGATTTGAATCATAAAAGAATGTACCATTAACAGATGAAGGGAGCAAGGAGGAGAATTAGATTTTTCATGGGAAGAATCCAGAGTCATTTAAGTCAGAAGAGGTTTTAAGAGTAATGAGATAGAAATTGATGAAGAAGATAATGTATTGAAAGTTTATAATCTGCCAATTTGGAGGTTATCCCTTAGTAAGTAGAGGAGATTAAATTGAGAAGATGAGTTGATGAGGAATGAATATTACGCCAATTATCTGAGAAGCTCTCTATATATGAAAATATAATTAAGAAGGAACAATTATGTATATATTAGAGATAAAAAGAAATGAAATCATGGCTATGAGTGGACTTGGAAGTAAGAAAAATGTACCTCTTCAAGCCAAGAGGATGGGATGGAGGATACACATTGATATGAATTGTTTTCCTAGAGTTTGTGGACTGCATGCATGGGTGAGCACAATTCTGGTATATATGAAATTTGTGCAAAGAATGAGCAACCTAAAACAAGTTAAGAATTTCCCCTATGAAGGTGAGATAAGCAAATATTTGAGAAATCATATCAGATGACTTTACTTTTAGTACAATAGAGTCTGAATAATAACTGGTTTTAAATGAGGAAGACAAATTCATTTGGTATAGTCAAGATAGCTTCTAGAGCAATGAAGGGATTTTGCTAATTTTTGTTAATTTTTTCATTTAGTGTGAATATATGTCTTCAGCCTGTAAACATTTCTAATATTGTGAATGTCTTGAGAATTTCCTAATACTTTTGAAAAGTTTATTTGGCACAGAGTTAGTGCGAACCCAGCTACTTTATACCCCTCTCCCCAACTCAGATTTCCCACAAACATGACAGATAATATAAAGAATGGAGGAAAACCACAACAATTGCTATAAAATAAGAAGGATGCTATCTCCAGGCCAAAGTCTTGTAATTATTAAATTGTGCCCATTTGATATGGATTCTAACTAAACTAACACATATATATTTTGTACTGCAAAAGTCTCAAACTGTAGTTATTTGTGTGTTTTAGGTAGTCTCACTCTATGTACAACAGTAGTACATACTATATATGTTTCTGTATGTGACTATATGATTTACACATGGAAACTCCATTGCGGAAAGTTTCTACCTTAAAAAATAAAGAAATAAAAAGGAACCTGTAAAAGGGCTGTAACTTGGAAGTGGTTTCTGGAAACAGCCTTGCAGTGCATCTGCCTGTTCTGAACATAAGTACTGACTTATTTTATTCCTCATAGTACTTCTCTAAATGGGGTACTATTATCATTGCCGCAATACAAATCGAGAACTTGATATACAGAGAGGTTAAGTAATTTGGCCCAACGTCAAGGGATGAGTTGTGGATCAAACTCACTGGTTGTACACTTCTTGCTTCTTAACACACAGGGAAAAAAAAAACAACAAAACCCTCAGACACTATTACACCTTTGGTGCTTCAGTGGTGAGGAAAGTGAATTCTGTTGATCCCCAGAAGGCACCAAAATGGGCTTGACTCAAGAGTGCCCGAGCATCTACAGTGCCCCTCCTGGAGGCAGTCCCTGGAAGGCTGACCAGAAGCCTTGTCTGTGTAGCCTGAGGTGGAATTCCCCAGCCCTGAGTGTAAGTGGCAGGTTTGGCACAGTTGAGTAGGACATTAGATAGTAGTCTGTGGTTAGTGCTGACCAGGTAATCTGGATTTGGGACACAGCTTTTTTGGTAGCTATATAGAATCCAGAGGAAAATAACAAGTCTGGTTTCATGTTGGACTTGATTTCTTGGTCCAAAGCTATCTGCCTCCCAGTGGTTTAATTTTCAATCCCAAACTCTGAGGCACATTACCATCTACCTCTATATGGCAATAAGACAAGAGTGAAAATACTCCTTTTAAAATTCGTGGAGACATGTAGGAGCCTAAAATCCATGCTTCACCTGGGTACTTTCAAGAAACACATAAGGCTGTGTTCTATGAACTCACCTTATGATGAACTAGAGTTAAGTGAGATATTAAAGGCAGTCAGCAAGCAAATAAAAACTCATTACAGACTGGGAAAAATTTGGCAGACTCTATGAATGGAGAAATGTGTTTGCACTTGGCAAGATGACACAAACTGAGAAGAGGGAAGAATACTTAACTTGTATGGGAGATAGTTCTTATGGAGAAGCAGACAGTTGCCTTTCCCTCCTCTGTTCCTCTTGGCTTTTTCTTCAGGAGAACCGGGGAAAAGTTTTACCCTAAGGCATCCAGAATCATGGTCCAGCAATACTGGCATTCAGCCAGTTGAATGCAACCTAAGGATTAAGAGAGAAAATAAATGCCACAAAGTAATCCCACCTCCTTCCAGAGTCAGAGAAAATAGCTATTAACATTTATATCTTGGATGATAAAAGAAAAGGGGACAGATGGGACCCAGTCAAAAGTCTCTGGAAATTCAAACCCAGCGTCTCTCAGTTTCCTCCATATCGTGGCAACCCCTTTACTTCAGCCTGAGGTTAGAATGGAAGATAGCTCTCACTGCTTTGGCGGTGCTTGCCTGGGCAAGTCATTCATCTTTCTGAAAAATCCGGCACCATACTGTAAAATGACATTACTTGTACTCTTGTCTTTCTTAAAAGCTTTTGTGATCACTACAAGCTAAAATATGGCAAAACATTTAGGATGAAGAATATTCCATATAACATGGGATTATCTTACTGCCGTGTTCAAATCAAATCGACGAATTTGCAAAGAGTTGTGACTTACATTTAAGGAAAGATGCTCTCAAGACTTGGGAGGGTCCCTTTTGCACCTACAGTAATAGAGTATAGACAGATGCGTTCTTTTTCCTGGTTTTAGAGTGTGTACATGAAACGGGGAAGGAAGGTCTGGTGGGCAGGACAAAAGTTTCAGGGAGGGCCCCCAACACATAAGCCATGAGTGCCCTCACTTCGTTTGTGACGCGGAGACCCAGCTCTGGGCCCTGATGCCGGGAAGTGAGGACTCCCGGAGACAGCAGGGCTGTCGCCGCTGCAGAGGGGACCTCCCTGCGTCCAGTCTCAGCCGAATCTCCCACAGCCAGCAGCCTAGGCCGGCGCCAGGCGCCTGCGGAACTTAGCTGAAGCAGAACCTTAGTGCGCGGGTCCCGCGGAGGAGGACCGGTGGGCTGAGTCACGCGCCCCGCGCCTCTCCCTTCCGCCCAGGAGGTGAGCGGCCTCCTGCGATCAGCCTTACAGGTGTCGGGAGATAACCATATTGGCTTTCCTTTGTTGTGACGAAATACCCAACATAAACACCGGAGGAAAGGCTTACTTTGGCTCAGGCTCTCAGACGTTCCGCTCCGCGGGCAGCTGGCTCTTTGGTCTTGGTCCGGGGTCGAGCAGAAATATGGCGGACTCCCAGCAGCCGGAAGCGGGCTGAGCGGGAACACTGAGGGGAGCACCGGGTGGGAAGAGGTGAGGCCAGCAGTCCTCTTCCTCCGTGGCCCCCAGCTCCCAAGAGCCCCTGCAGCTGTGGGCTCCTACGTGGCCACCGATTGAGGTTCACGTCTACAGGTTCTCCCTCCTCTCAGGCCCTGACTAAATATTGCCGCATGGGGATCCGACTCGGAACACGTGGGACTTTGAGGTGATGCTTTGTATGTAAACCATAACGGATACACATCCAGTGGAATGATGGTGTTTTTTAGTTCAGTTTTGCTTTACTGGTTTTCTGCTTGCCACATATGCGCATTTCAGATACGGAAGTATTAGTTACTATTAGGGATTCATCCGTTTCTCTTTGCAGTTGTATCAGTTTTTGCCTCATAAGTCTTGATTCTCTGCTGTCGGGCCCGCGGTGTCTTCTAGCCCCCCACTCCCTTTGTGGTTTTCATTGAACTTTTTATGCTTCTGTTTTTGGAATATTGTTTTTAACTCTCCTTAAAGTGGTTATCTTGAGTTTTCAGTAAAAAGTACCCTTTGGGTGTGGTGGTACACTCCCGGTGTGGTGGTACACACCTGATATCCCAGCACAAGGGAGGCTGAGGCAGGAGAATTGCTGCAAGTTCGAGGCCAACCTGGTCTATGTAGTGAGTTCTAGGTCAGCCTGAACTGCATAGCGAGACCCTGTCTCAAAAGCTAAAAAAAATTTTTAAAAATATATACAGAATAGGGCCAGGGATTTAGCTCAGCGGTTCGGTGGCCTGCCTCGCAAGCTCAAGGACCCAAGTTCGATCCCCGGTACAAAAAAAAAAAAAAAAAAAAAAAACAATATATACAGAATAGGGCCAGGGATTTAGCTCAGCGGTTTGGTGGCCTGCCTCGCAAGCTCAAGGACCCAAGTTCGATCCCCGGTACAAAAAAAAAAAAAAACAAAAATCCCGAAACAAATATATACAGAATACTCAGAACTAATATAAATCCACTTTCAAATAATGATAAGAGTTTCATGGATTATAAAGAAATATATTTTAATGGGCATTTATTTAAAAAAAAAAACCCATAGTAGACATCACAACCTCAACCTCAAAATAGTGGAAGGTTTCCCTTTACATTCAGGAGTAGGCCAACAGTGTTTCCTTCAGCAGCACTTCGATTTAATATTGTAGAGTGGACTTAGGCAGTATAGAAAAGTAAGAAAAAGTATGAACTAGAAAAGATGGAATGAAATGATTATTCACATGTATGATTGTATACATAGAAAATTCAAAAACATTAAGTTTAGCAAAGTTCCTGGGCATTTTTGTACCAGCAGTAGACGATTACAAAATGAAAATAAGATACCATTTGTAATAGATAATAGCAAGTTCCTTGGAATAAGTCCAATTAAAATATGTAAGATCGCTTCAGAAAACAGAGAATGTTGTTTTTGAGTAAATATTTAAATAAAGGGAAGTTTAAATCATGTTCATAGATTAAGGTTTATGTGTTAAATAGATCCCCAAATGATTTAAAGATGTGGTTTGAGTTATTATCAATTTCATTATAAAATTTATATAAAAAAGCAAAAACCAATAATAGTTAAGATACTCTGGGAGATAAAGTTAGAGACCTTGCTCCACTACCCACTAAAATTTGTTACAGGGCTACAGTGGTTAAGGCTGCGTGGTATTGGTACCAAAAATACCAATAACATGGAATAGCCAGAAACGAACCTATGCAGATGGATGCTGGATTTATGACCAAAGTGACACTCAGAGCAAGGAATAACCATGCTCTTCAATACATGGCATGGGGCAACTGCAACATATGTGAAGATCCCATTGGTTATTGTATATAAAAGTCAAATCCAAGTGGATTACCAAACTAAAATTGGGGGAGTAAAGCAAATAAAGCTTTTAGTACCTAGAATGATAAGAATATCTTTATAACCTTGCTGTACAGAAAACCTTCTCAAACAATACCAAGGAAATCACTAATCCTTAAACTGGATTGCATTAAAATTAAGACTTCATCAAAAGACACCATTAAGAAGGTGAGATCCATGCACAGAAAAATAAGTTGGGATACAGAATCTGAAGGGAAGAGAGAATTTACAGGTGACAGCACAGATGGAGATGTTAATAAGATGTCACAAGATGGGGAAGATGCACTAGGAGCAAGTTTGGAGGGAATACCAGCAGTTCAGTTTTTTTAAAGCTAAGTAGGAGATGCTCCTTAATAAAGCAGCTGTGTATGAGTCTGGAATTTGGAAGAGTTTGGAAAACCACCAGAGAGCAACAAGCTCTGCCTGTTGAGTCTGTGGCTCGTGGCAGCCAGGAGAAGCTAAAACTCAGAATGAAGAGCTACAACACTAAAGGTTGAGAGACAGTGGCTTTTTTATTTTTTCTTGCTTTTTTGAGACAGGGTTTCACTTTGTGGTTCACACTGGCCTTCAACTTACTATGTAGCCCAGGGTGGCCTTGAACTTGCATCAGTCCTCCTGCCTAAACTTCCCAAGTGCAGGGACTACAGACATGTGCCACTATGCCCTGCTGAGACATTAGCTTTTATTGTTGTTGTTCTTGTTTGTTTGTTCTTTTATATATTTATATATATATGTAAGATATACATAATGATAATATTCGCCATAGGGAATTTGTACCTGTACATGATACATTCTTTTTTTCCCATTTCCCCCTCCTGTTGACCCCTCTTGTCTTCCTTATTAACAAAAGTTTTGTTTCTAGTTTTTCTTCTTTTTCCCTTGTCTCTTCTTTCCTTTTCCCTTCTCACCTTCCTTGTTCCCCTTTTCATTTGAACATTTTCTTCCTATTTCCAAATATCTATTATACATTTTGGTCCTTATTTACACTTTTGGTTTCTCACACCAGAAAATGAAGCATTTAAACACATGTGTCTGATTTATCTCATTGTAGAGGATGGTCTCAAGGTACATCCATTTAGTTACAAATGTGCCAGACCCCACAGTACTGGTCATGCCCAAAGCATGCTGTGAGCAGTGTGGGCTGCAGAGTTAGCCCCTCCTGGCTCACTGTAAGAAGTGAGTCTGAAGCTCCGCCACGCACAGAAGCAGCTCATGAGCACCACGGGAGCATGCAGCTCAACATGACCTCCCTGTCCACGGCCACTGCCGAGACCAGAGTGATGGCCTGTGAAGATGTGGGGCTCGTACAAGGTAACATCATAGTTGAGGTCAGAGGAATTGCTCCCAAACTCCATCCCCACAGTCAGTGCCTTCACAGCTGGAAGGACAGTTCTCTAATTACAACCATGCGTTTTGTCTAACTCGGCTCTTAGAAAATGCCATAGTTGATTACTCATTGGAACAAAAATTACTAAATTTGTTTCTGATTACAAAAAGCTATCTAAAAGGACAGAACTTTTTTTTTTTTTTGAGACAGAGTCTCATTATGTAGCCAATACTGGTGAACTCACAGTGATCCTCCTGAATCAGCCTCCTGAGTGCTGGGATTATAGTTGTGCGCCACTACATCTGGCCAAGCACTCTTTTTTATTGAACATATCTGATCACATTCCAATTTACCTGGACTTTTATCATATGCTAATCTTCAGGCTGATGTGTTAATTGGATATATTTCATCTTTTGAGCAAGCTAAAGCAGCACATGATTACTTTCATCAAAATTCTAAAGCTGTGAAGAGAGATTTTCAGCTTACTCCTGTTCAGGCTCGACAAACAGCCCTGGCCTGCCCTTCATGTCAAAGAAATCCCACGACCTATGCCTCTAGAAGGGATTAACCCTCATGGCTCAGGTAGCAATATAATTTGGCAAAACTCATGTCCCCTCCCCTCATTTGGAAGAACACAATTTGTTCATGTTTCTGTTGATACCTATGCTCATATGATTTGTGCTACTTGCCATGTTGGGGAAAAGAGCCATTATGTCCAACAGCACTGTTTGTCTTTGCAGCCATGGGGTCCAAAACAGATAATGGACTTCCATATGTTAGTAAAATCACTCAACAATTTTTTCACACTTGGCACATAAAACATATCACAGGTATACCTTATAACCCCCAAGGACAAGCAATAGTAGAGAGAGCTTACCAAAGTTTAAAAAACTCAGTTACTTAAACAGAAGGGGAAATTAAGCATCCCTGAAGTAAGATTAGATCTGGCAACTTTTGTTCTAAATTTTTTGAACCCTGCTGCTGGCTCTCCCTTGCCAACCAGCCATGCTTCATTGGCAACAGAATGTGCCCACCACTGAGGCTCGGCCACAGGAACTCTGGAGAGACATATGGACCGGGGCTTGGCACGGTGCCTCCACCTCGTTAATCCCAGGCGAGGTTTGAATTGTGTCTTCACAGACAATGGAGAAACGCTGTGGCTGCCGTCCTAGAGTGAGTGCCATGGACAGAGATGGGGCCCCAGACAGCAGCGCCAAGTGGCACCCCACTGAGAGCCACTCAGAGGCTGAGTCTAAGGAGCCCCACACGGCCCAACACCTACAGATGCTCATGAGCAGAGGTCTGCTCAGAGGGGCCGCCCACGTCCACCAGGGAGACCTGTACCCAAGTGGGTGCCACGGGTGCCAAGCCAGAGCAGTGGTCCTGCGCGAGAGATAAGATGGATCACTCTGGAGAGGACTACAGGTGAAGCCTGCCATCTTGGGGCACCAGGGTCTACCACTTAACCCAGAGAGGGTACTAACTGCATCAATGGTGATCATCCTTTCTGTATGTAGAAGACCTATCACAGCTGGGGAATACTGGGCTTACATTCCTAAGCCTCCTGTACTTGAGACTGGTGACCTGGATGGACCAACCTTGAGACTTTTCATGCCCTAGACAATACTGTGCCTTTAATGAATGTCATATCTGGACCTCAAATTGCAACTTTTATGGATGAACGAGTCACATTAACTCTGACTTCTCATTTCATTCACCCACCATTATGCGTCATGGGACAGCTTAAAGGAAACCATCCCTGTTGTATAGCCAGACCTCAATCCTGGGTGGGTTTCTCCCAACAAGATAAGGTTATGATTACCTTAGGCTCTACCCATATCTGGTCATCCTATTCTTCTTGTTTTAAGGTCTAGAATTGCTTTTCCATCAGTTACTGATGGCACATTTCTTTTATGGGAGACATGCAGGGCCCAATATGGGATAAATACTATTAATTCTATCCGTTTCTTCATAGACTGGGCACCTGTTGGTGCATTCACTGGATTATTTAAAGAATGGGCTGACCTCAGTTTTTACAGTCTTGAAAATTGAATGCTTATTTCTAATGTGGCAAATAAGATAAACTGGATGGGAATGGGATTTAATTCTCCCATCCCTCAATATATTTATAAAGGAAAGCCAGGTCCCATACAACATACTCTTTGGAAATTGGGATTGCCCTTCTTTCCTGGAAATAAAAGTATAGAGGAAAAGAGGCTAATGCACCAAGTGGTATAACTGGAGTCAGATTAGTTTTCCATGTAGATAAAATTATTCTCACAGATATTTGTATTTATGACCCTTTTGCATTTCTTTATGGCACTGTTAATTGGCAAGCAAATTCCTTTTCTTGTCATAATTGTTACTTAACTCACCGCATCAGCACTAGAGACATCCTCAGTTCACAGACAGTCATTATTATGGGCAGGTTATCTGGTGTGTGGTTGCCTGTAAACCTCACAGAATCATGGTATCATTCTCCCACTTCACTTTTTCTTCATGTGTTATTTCATCATTTGACTCATCATGTTAAGCCCATGGTGGGACTCATAAATGCTGGACTAATTTCCTTAGTATTGTTAATTTCCAGTACATTGGTTGGGTCTACAGTCCTGATCCATTCTATCCGGACTGCTCATTTTATAGTTAATTGGACAAAGACTGATGACAGTAGTGGAGAATCCAACAAGACATTGACCTTAAAATACAAACTTGGGTTACTGTCCTAGAAACTGCAGTGTTATGGATGGGAGACCAAATCGAAAGTTTACAACTCCAACAAGGCCTAAAATGTCACTACAAGAAAGCAGGAACCAGCCCATTCTGATTCTGTCTTCTGTGTGCGTAAGAATCCATGCTAGCCAGTGACACTGCTAAGTACTGACTTTCCACAGTTTTTAGATTAATGATGCAAGTTAGATCTACCCTTTAGAAGAATTTCAGTCTATGATGAAAAGTGTCATATGTTCTTGAAAAAAATGTGGGGATACTACATTTATCAAAGTTCTTTTATAGGGGTAAGAACACTGCAAAAGCAGGGCCACACACAGTTACCTTGGCAGTCCCTTCCTGTTTAATATCTTGCCCTTTCACCAAGAATAAAAAAAACAAGTTGAAAGCTTTATCAAACTTGGCAGCTACTTATGATTGCCCTCCATTGGTTATTTCCCATTTGTCTTGTATTTTTTTTTTTAATTTTCTTTGTATCTCTTCGGTTGTTGGTATTGTTTGACTATTTCTTGGTGCCATGTGAGTAGGATAATGATGACAGATTTAACTGCACATGCTGTAAATATTGGGAGCAATCAATTTTCTCTATTTCCCCTTCCCAGAAAATGTACACAATTAAGGATTGTTTTCTTCATGCGATTTACATTCTCAGACCTGAAGGAAACTAATGTGGATCAGTTGAGTATGTGGATTTTAAATGTCTACTCAGCTGCCTTTCCAGCGAAGAACCAATTTACAGTGCCATTGGATTGTGAAAGTCCTTTATCTCATTCCTAGATGGAAACCAGCCTGGCATGTGGGGCCTGGATAGCTCAATTGGTAGAACATTAGACTTTTAATCTGGGGGTTCTGGGTTTAAATCCCAGTCCAAGTGCCAGTTTCAGCTTTCCTGATGTGTACCAACTTTTACCTACCTTGAGTGAGGATTGCAAGGGCACCAGCTACCTTCAATCTCAATCAGTTGCTAAGATTTGCTTAGAGTTATCTGTTCCAAGAGGATGATTTTAGCAGTTTGTAAATAATAATTTCCCAAGGAATGCACAGTGTAAAGTTTATAATTTGTGAAAGAAAAGGGCATTATCTCTAGAATGGGGTATTTTAAAAATGGAACTTGAAATAACCAAGAGGAAAGCTTTCACAACACATGGCCTTAGATTTTTAGTCTTTGCCCCTCACAGCCAAGCGACTTAGTGGTGCTTTTTCCCTAATCTGAGGCCACCATTACATTTTAATGAGAAACACGGAGGGCCTGAAGTTACTTGACAAAGGCTGCAGTATGATAAAATATTCAGCCTACCCAGAATGTGTTGCTGGTGTAGTTGACAGTATAGTGGATCATATTTTTTAAGAAACTGTGTGTCCTCTGTTGTCTAGTAAGGAATAGTACTCATTCCATTTACAGCTGACATGGTAACGTACACAGAAAATTTAAGGGACCATTAAAAGTACAGAATGTGTCCAGCAAGAGAAATGATACTCTCAGTTTATTAAAAAAGAAGGAAAAAATTGTAAATAGGGGAGGGTGGAGGGGATGAAGGGAGGGCAGGGGTATGGGGAAAAAATGAAAACCAAGATCTGTCATGTAAAGGTATAAGATCCCAATGATGAAGCAAAAGCCCCAGGCCGGTTGGGCTTGCCTCACAGCCAGCTCCTGAGCCACGCATCCCTGGACCCGCCACTCAGAAAGGCGGGCATCTCCCACCCTGTTCTCTGAAGGGGAAGAGTGAGCCGAGCCATCTCTAATACCACTGGGTGCGCGACTGTGTCTTTCCCAGCGCCTGGGGCTCAGAAGGGAACGGCTATGAAATCAGTTGTGGGTGATTGCTGCGTGCTGCTGAGGATCAATCACAGAGCCCAAGGCATGTAGGCAAGCCCCGTCCGGGCCTGTTAGTTTAGTACATTAACTAGACTAGGGGAGATAAAGTCCATGTAGCAAAATCTTGTTTGGTGTCTTCCTTGTCACACAAATACATACATGTAGATATTTGTATATTGTATTAAGCTGTAATTTTATGTTTGTAGTTGCAGAAGAAGGAAAGCAAGGAGAGAGAACGAAAGAAGGGGGAGAGAGAGAGAAA